CATACACTGAGAAAGGAAAGAGTGAGCGAGAGGCTGGTGTAGTAGAACGGACACACGGTGGCTTTGCATTTTTTCGGAATGAATTGACTTCAGAAGAATATAAAACACACTACTGAACCGGACTTGCGTAGTACAGAAAAAGAGGGTAGGCACTATCCTACATATGCATGTATAATAACTAAGCAAGCCGAATAGTTTGGTGGTGAAAATGGACTTTCGTAAGGTACTTTCGTACATGTGTAAGCCCACTTTGCACTATCAGATACTTACTTTTAAGGGTTTATTAGAGACATATTGGAATCAGAAAAAGGAGTAAAGACCGATATGGATCAAGAAAGGAAGATATGGATGTGCGAGTCCAACCAATCTTCAGGATAAATAATAACAGCTATTATTCAAAAATTACTACAAGAAATAAAAACTGATAAGAATTCATTTAATTTTTTCTAGACAGGGGATGCTGCTTAGTCTGTACTTATACTTTTTTGTAAAAAGAAAACAATTGTAATGAAGAATTAGCTTGATAAAAGCTTTGCTATTGGTTTTAATAAAACTGTTGTTAATGTACAATCAACAGCAGCTGTACCATTGTGCTGTTGAAAATGATATGAGCTATCTACTGCTTAACTAAATTAATTATATTATAACTTTGCTGCAGGTGAAATGTACACGTACAATCAATTAAACAGGCACAGTGCCAGGTGTTATTTACAAATTTGTAATACACAAAGGAGTAATCAAATCTCACTGCAAACAATTCTGTGCTAAACAACCTTTCCCTTTGTTTTTCATGGCATTAATGTTAAAAAAGTGGACAACTGTTTCAAAATGCATACAGTGCAAATACAAAAATAAGGAAATAATGTATTTACCCATAGCCCAAATCCCCGGGTCTAGAGACTTGAAATTTCGCATAGACGTTCGTTATGTAACGTAGACAAGCACTAAGAAAGAATTTTTTAAAATTCAACCCCTAAAGGTACAAAGGTTCCTTATACAAGTAATACAAGTGAAAATGTTAATAACAAAATTTTGAAAACATGGAATGCGTTACCAAACACATTTAATTACTTGAAGAAGTTGCTTATGCTATTTTAACAATGTTTTCATCAACCTATGCCTCCGCGTCATTATTTTCAGAGATAAATAACATTAAAAACTCGGATAGAAACCGTTTGACAGATGACTCCAGTTCAGTATGCATTCTGCTAAAAGTAACGTCTTACAACCCTAACATACAGTAAGTTATTTGTCATCTAATCTGCAACAAACGAAAGTCACACCAATTTTACTTTAATTTAAATTACACGTATAATTTAAACAATATTTAATCACAAACACAAAATTATTTGATGGCACGTCTATGACCTGATTAAACTTTTCTTTATAAAAATGGCACGTTGATACGTAAAGGTTCGCCATCCCTGCCCTATATATAATAACGGTTTTGAATTCTACTTGTGAATTTAAATAGACTTTCATAAGGCTTTCATACCTCTAAAATTCACCTTTTTTAAGATATTACCTTTTCTTTTAAAAAAGTAACATGCAACACTAGGTAGCGATAAGGCATGCCTATTTTACAGTAAGAAAGTTGGAGCAACAATATTCTCAGAGACAGATAGATATATACTCTCAAGCTTTCCGTCTGTACTTTCAAAGTGAGTTGATTACATACAAGGTGTTAGATATTTAATAGCAGATTTGGTTAACTTCAAATAAGGAGAATTTTAAGAAATCATTGCAAAATCGCGGATTACAGATAATACGAGGGTGGATTGATAAGTTTCCGGCCTAACCAAGAGATGACGCCACTAGGCCTACCTTGAGGTGACATTCTATAGTACCATCCTTGGATAGCTTGTAGCTATAGTTTCAGCCCGATCTCCTTGCTAGTGTAGGTTTGACAGCACGCTGAACAAGACGCCTCTGTGGTTTTCGTAAAAATGGAAAAGCAGGAAAATCGTGCTGTCATCAAATACTTTTATTTGAAGGGGTTAACGCCGAAGGAAATTAAAAAAGAGATGGACTCAACACTGGGGACATCCTCCCCGTCATATTCAACCGTTAAGCAGTGGGTTTCCGAGTTTAAAAAGGGTCGTGTGAGCACCTCTGATGGGCCTCGCTCAGGACGCCCCGTTGAGGTCACAACTCCAGATATGATCGAAAAAATTCATCAAATAGTGCTGGGAGACCGCAGATTGAAAGTGCGTGAGATAGCTGAGACCTGTAAGATGTCATATGAACGTGTGCAACATATTTTGCACCAACATTTGCATATGGAAAAGCTCTGTGCAAGATGGGTGCCGCGTTTGCTAACAGTCGACCAAAAATTGATTCGAAAAAACATTTCTACCGCAAATTTGTCATTGTATAAGCGTAATCCAAGCGAATTTTTGCGTCGATTCGTAACCGTTGACGAAACGTGGGTCCACCACTACACTCCTGAAACCAAAGAACAGTCTAAACAGTGGATTGGACCAGGGGAACCAACTCCAAAGAAGGCAAAAACAATTTTTTCGGCGAACAAGGTTATGGCTACTGTTTTTTGGGATGCAAGAGGTATTATATACATTGATTACCTTGCAAAGGGTAATACTATCACTGGTCAATACTACGCAGACTTATTGCAACGTTTGAGCCACGAGGTGAAAATTAAACGACCTCATCTGGCGAAGAAAAAAATCTTGTTTCATCACGATAACGCACCAGCGCACACGTCAATCGTTGCGACGGCTAAAATCAACGATCTAAAGTTTGAATTGATGCCGCACCCTCCTTACTCTCCAGACCTAGCCCCGAGTGACTATTTTCTGTTCCCTAATCTCAAAAAATGGCTTGGCGGTAAGAGATTTGCGGACAATGAAGAAGTAATCGAAGCTGTAAATGGTTATTTTGAGGAGCTTGACGAATCAGTCTATAGAGATGGCATTAATAGACTGGAACACCGCTATGAGAAATGTATCAGCCTTGGAGGAGATTATGTTGAGAAATAAAAAAAAAAAATTTTTAAAAACCTTGTTTTTCTTGGTCAGGCCGGAAACTTATCAATCCACCCTCGTAATAGTAACAAAAGCAACTTAAAAATAAATAAAATTAAATAATTAACAATATCAGCTAATAAAAATTAAATATGTATATTAGTATGATGGTTCAATATGCTCTCCATTTAGTTGTAAGCAATTGTTTATCCTTGCAGAAACTCATGTGTAATTTGTGCTGCAAGCTTCTGATTTCGTTCAAATTGTTCTGGTCTGAAAATCGGGATCTCCTTGTGTTCAATATTATTTTTTTTTAAATTTATTATTAAGCCATGGAGAATGTAACAAAATAATAAACAAACTTGCAGAATATTTACCGAGAGATACCCACCAAAAAATGGTGCAAATTTTTGTAAATTTTCCGACATCCTCGGAAATTTTTGCTTTCATTATTTGTAATCTTTGTTGATACGAAAACCCTGTCCAATATTTTTGCCTTGTGATGTAAGTAAAATTATTTTTTCAATGTATCTGCCAAACAGCATAAAAAAGAAAATTGTGGAAATTATTAGTGAAACAAATTTCATTTATGACAAATTCATTGGAACGTTCTGATACTTATCTTGACTTGGTCAGTTGAAAACCATTTACCTGTCGTTTTCTACTGCTTTTTTCTTCCAAAATTTCATTTGGTAAGTATTATGGCAGAAGCGACAAAATGCTTTTTTAATACAAATATAAAATTGATTTTCATTATCTTGGACACGCGTTCTAGTTTTAATTTTAGCGTTACAATAGTCTAAATATATATACTTATCAACCTCCTTGAAGGCAAAAAAAAAACAAAATGAGGCACTGAAATATACGACTATCTGACGGTGTAAAAATTAAATATGTAGTTACTAGATCTTATTCATCATTGATTTCATGAACTTAAATTCTCCTTTTTAAGTGGTTTTTTGTTTATATAAATAATATTTCGGTTATTTATGATCGGTTGTAAGTGTTTTCTCATAGTTATGTATTGTACAAAGAGCAAGTCGATATGGTTTTTATGTTTATATTAGGGAATATAAATGGTTAAGACACTGAGAGGGGCACATCATATCATTAATGTAAAACTGTAATGACAAAAATAATACTTAAAAAATGGGTTTGATAAGTCAAAGTTAATTGAAATTCAAAATTTTTCAAATTTTAATGACGATAGGTTATCTTCGGGTTAAACGACACTTAATATGGAAAATATATCAATTTATCTTAAATCTTGCGGTCAAAACCGCGGCTTTCTGCTCGACTGTGTTGGTAACACATAACACATAACATTTTTTTGAAAAACTGTCAAACTACGCACTTCAAGAAGGTAAATTTTACATTAAAATATAAGTACGCATAAAAAGTGATATTTTATTTTAATAGGAATTCAGGAAAGTAATAAAGCGTTCTATTTAATGTAACAAACCTGGTAAGCACCTAATAATAAGTTCATAATTTCATTACGGTGAAGGCATTAGGGTTACAATGAGATTATGGTGAATATATCTTATAAAAATCATAATACTTTTGAAGAAGTGCTGTATGAAATTTAATGTTTAAAACTGAAGGAGTAGAACTTCGAAAACCACATAGGTACTATCATTTAGTTTAATTTGTGATTACATTTTAGAAACCAATAACTGTTGTTAATGTTTGTTAAATTGAAATAGGTGTTAATGTATCATCCAGGATATGTTTCTGTAAAAGTGATAAGCACAATGCAGTTTTACATATACATTCGATTAGATTTACAGAAAACGAATGTGTTTCAGTTTCTGTGCGTCAGTTCTGTAAATCGTATGAAGCCAGGTTTAATTGTAAGTTGCCAGTTATTCATATGCCTAACGATGTTTAACAGGACATATGTGGATTATTAATATAATTCCATAAAAGAATCATACATTTCAATACAATTAAACAGTTTCCTTATACAAAAACAAAAAATCTAGAACAAAGTATTAAACATTTCCTTTTCTGTTCTAGTGTTAAGTTTAAGATGGGTATCAACTTACGAAATGAGGAATTTAAATTTGGTATAGTTGATTATCTTGTCTTCTGTGCAATGCTAGTGCTATCTGCCATTACCGGCATCTATTATGGATGCAATAGGTGCAAATGCTTTGGCAAAATGGAAACTCGAGCTCGAAGTCTTGCAGAATATCTTAGTGGAAGTAAAAATATGAAGCCTTTCCCTGTTGCAATGTCCTTAGTAGCAAGGTGAGTTATGAATTTTATGAAGATTTTGATGAAATGTTAAGTGCAAATAAATCGGAAGAGTTTCTACCCCAATGGCGAAAATATTAACAATTTATGCAAAACAAAAATATTACAAAATAGATAGTTTTATAAGAAATAATCAATTCTAACTTTAATTGATATTTTTGGAGACTACAATTAGGTAAAAAAAGAGAAAGCGTAGATCTAGAGAAAACTTTTGACGATGTTTAATGGGAAAAGATGAAAAATACTTAAGAAGATGAAATACAGGGATAGATGAGTGATTTATAGTTTGTATAAAGAGCATTGTATGATAATCAGTTAAAAGTAATATATTTCATTTAAACCAGTTTTTACTACAAAAGTACACAAGTTAACAATGTTATAAGAGGAAATTGAAGATGATGGTTTTACTTGCTGAAGAGTTAGAGACGACAGCAATCGATTTAGTATTGATTATTTATTCTAATAATTTCATTTCGAAAATATTTATACAGTTATAGCCTTTATTTATTTTGCATAATGTTTGCTCAATTGTGTAAATTTTAAGTTAAAAGTGCAATTTTGAAGCCAAAAGGAAGTTCGATTTGGGATTATTTTGTTGATACTAACGATGCAAGTGCTAAATGCAAAATTTACAACAAAATATTTGCGAAAAGTGCGCACAACAACTGCATTAAAGAGTCACCTAAAATCATTACACTTCTGCTTCCGCATCCGCTTCCGTTTGTACCTCCGTAAAAATTTACTATTTACTTCTGTTTCCATTATAACACTTCCGTTGCATCGCTAGAGTGTAGTATATTATATGGTCGAAATCCATCAAAAAAAATTTTAAAGAATACTCTGAAGTCGTCCAGTCTAAGTTCACCATAAAAAGGAATGTTGAAACTAGTCTTTCCTAGGCAGGTCGCGTTTCAACTGAAATCTAACGTTACTTGTTCAGTTGGATGGCACTTTTGTCTAGAGGAGTTTTTTTTTTAAACGCAATATTATTAATATCGTAATTATTGGGATCCGTCAAATGGGAGGAGCCTAAAAACATGGCGCCGATTAAGGAAAATTTATCGTAGTTCCTATTGTGTACCGTGCAATTTCTAAGTTTTTAAATTACGATAAAATGATAAGCATTGACACAATATGTGATTGGGCTGATTCTGGGTGATTTAAGCAATATCATATCAATGACTTGCACGTGCAAAGCCGATTTAAGAGAACGTTGCAAACACATTATTGCAACTTTGTTGTATTGCAGCAGGTAGGTTCTTAACCTCAAAATACTTATATCGTATCATTAGAATTGTGTTAAATCAATTACACAGGAATAAATAATTTCTCACTTTATAATTTTAGTATGATTCTAGTTTTAAATATTAAGGTTATGGCTGATGGTAAATACTTGCTGAAATATAATCATGTGCATTAAAATGACGTGAACAAATTTTTATTCCGGAATTCACTTCTTTGATACCTACTGCTTTATTATTTTAATAAACAATTTTACAATTTGCGTGCACAGTTCCTACGTAAATTTTTCTCTCATTCGAGTTATAAATTTTACCACCAGATGGTGTATACCCATTTGACGGATCCCCAATATATTTATTTTTTGTTGCAAAATATTTAAATACGCGTTCGTGTTGCGAACTGACAGCGTTATTTAATCATTTGCGTATTATAATTTTAGTTACGTATCTGGTGTCACAGTATTGGGAACCCCTGCCGAAATATACAATTTTGGAAGTCAGTATTGTATAATAGGTATAGCCATTTGGACAAGTGGACTTATAGTAGCAACTGTTTATATGCCAGTATTCTTTAAATTGCAATTGAATTCTTCCTATGAGGTACCATCTTATATACTTATTTTTTATTTAAATTATAAACTTATAAATGACTCTTTTATTATAAATACAGAGTTTATTAGGCACTATTCTTTAGAGAAACTTAAAACATCAAAAGACATTACACAGTAGTAATTTGCGTAATGCAATGATTTTTACTCTTACTGTTATTTATGGGTTCAAAAAAGAACTAGTTATTGTGAATTTAATGAAAATTTAATAAATCACTAACAAATAAAATAATTCAGTGGTCTGTGTTCTGTCGAAATTGTCTGCGCCGTGCTAATGAGATCCAACAAGATCGAAAATACGATCCGCGTCTGGCAGAACAGACCAATTTTACCTGCTGTTTTAATAGCTCGTTTTATAAAATACCACAAATGGCGCGATAAACGCTATCTGTAGTACAATGCTACATTTTAGGATTACGTATTCTCAACAAGGTCTATTTAAATACCATACGAAAAACTCCGGGATTTCGTTTCAGCAAGTACTTAGATATCCATGTGTATTTATAAATATATATTTTATAAATCTCTAATGATGATACAGCTTAAAAAATATTTCATCAACTAATTAGAACAGTTTACAAGTATGCATCGACATTATCATCCGTAAATTTTATGGCAGGATGATAGTATTTGGAGTAGCCCCCGTTAAAAATTTATGAGTAGAGGAACTTGAAACGCAATGGTGAAAATAGCTCATGACGGAAACCATTGTCAACGGCATACAAATTTTCAGTAAAAATGTGTTACTCCTTTTACTATAGCAGAGGTATCGAAGATTGACTTAAATATTAAAAATACCTATCACATGGCTTCAATAAAGGTCAGTTGTGGCCTTTAATTTTATGGGCGGGAAATCGAGCCCAGGCTACCCGCGTACCTGTCGGGCAATTCTATTAATATGAACATCCCTTCATTACGTTCCGTCATGGCGGTAGTTTCATATTTTTGATTTTTTTTGTAACATTTGGGCAAATGTACGTTTCTTTTGATGTAATCAGGATATTCTCGAAATACTCGTTTCCAAGAACTCGAACTTTAGTTACAAAAATTTCGAAAATACGTGCACCTATTCTTATTAAGCTTATTAGTGGCGCAGCAGTTACGTCTTGCTTTTATAGAATTCCAAACCATACTAACTGATGTTAAACAATAAGCAATATGATACTAACGAGTGGAATTTCGTGTAGGTTAAGTTATTGTGTAGAAGGTTTCCCTGATTAGCATGTGCAGGGTACTTTGTCCCATGATACAAATCCTATGAACCAGGAATAAGTGCTAAGCACCATTAGGTTAGGTTAAGTTAGGTTTAATTAGTTTTTAGCATGAATCAAATCCTTCTTAAATACATTTTCAATGATAAAGGGTGTAACACGAATTTAGCCAGAACTTTTGAACCGTGGATTTCCGTCATGATGACCAATTTTAATGATCTTCTACTCACGAACTTTTCTTCAAGGTACGCATCACACTCCCTGGTAAGAGTTAACGCAAATACAAAATCATTATGCAATAACGTAACTGTACAGGATGTTTCTGAAATAAATAGCATGCTTGCAGGAGGTGATAGGGAATATAAAACAAGAAAATTAAATAGTTTAGTGGTCCGAAAGTTCACGGGTTTCTAAAAGTAAAGACAAGGATAAGTTCGTCCCTGGTAGCTCAAGTAAAGAAATATAGCATTACAAAGCCTAATTCATTGGTAATTAGCAGCATCCGTGTTGTGTTTCTCTTGTACTTTTGTGTTCATGCATTGTTTGTTATTTGTTGGATTAGATTATGTGTGTTTGACGATGTTATTTCCAGCCTGTAGCAGTTTATTCTTTTAACGTTGTTGGTTTGTATGTATATAGTCAGTCGAAGTCCGAACTATATCGCCGCTGTAGAATCCTTGATTTTATACAAGATAACCCCCACAATAGTACATGCGAAATAGCGCGGAATTGTGGCTTCTTCCATACTACAACGTATACGAGGGTGGATTGATAAGTTTCCGGCCTGACCAAGAAAAACAAGGTTTTTAAAAATTTTTTTTTTTTATTTCTCAACATAATCTCCTCCAAGGCTGATACATTTCTCATAGCGGTGTTCCAGTCTATTAATGCCATCTCTATAGACTGATTCGTCAAGCTCCTCAAAATAACCATTTACAGCTTCGATTACTTCTTCATTGTCCGCAAATCTCTTACCGCCAAGCCATTTTTTGAGATTAGGGAACAGAAAATAGTCACTCGGGGCTAGGTCTGGAGAGTAAGGAGGGTGCGGCATCAATTCAAACTTTAGATCGTTGATTTTAGCCGTCGCAACGATTGACGTGTGCGCTGGTGCGTTATCGTGATGAAACAAGATTTTTTTCTTCGCCAGATGAGGTCGTTTAATTTTCACCTCGTGGCTCAAACGTTGCAATAAGTCTGCGTAGTATTGACCAGTGATAGTATTACCCTTTGCAAGGTAATCAATGTATATAATACCTCTTGCATCCCAAAAAACAGTAGCCATAACCTTGTTCGCCGAAAAAATTGTTTTTGCCTTCTTTGGAGTTGGTTCCCCTGGTCCAATCCACTGTTTAGACTGTTCTTTGGTTTCAGGAGTGTAGTGGTGGACCCACGTTTCGTCAACGGTTACGAATCGACGCAAAAATTCGCTTGGATTACGCTTATACAATGACAAATTTGCGGTAGAAATGTTTTTTCGAATCAATTTTTGGTCGACTGTTAGCAAACGCGGCACCCATCTTGCACAGAGCTTTTCCATATGCAAATGTTGGTGCAAAATATGTTGCACACGTTCATATGACATCTTACAGGTCTCAGCTATCTCACGCACTTTCAATCTGCGGTCTCCCAGCACTATTTGATGAATTTTTTCGATCATATCTGGAGTTGTGACCTCAACGGGGCGTCCTGAGCGAGGCCCATCAGAGGTGCTCACACGACCCTTTTTAAACTCGGAAACCCACTGCTTAACGGTTGAATATGACGGGGAGGATGTCCCCAGTGTTGAGTCCATCTCTTTTTTAATTTCCTTCGGCGTTAACCCCTTCAAATAAAAGTATTTGATGACAGCACGATTTTCCTGCTTTTCCATTTTTACGAAAACCACAGAGGCGTCTTGTTCAGCGTGCTGTCAAACCTACACTAGCAAGGAGATCGGGCTGAAACTATAGCTACAAGCTATCCAAGGATGGTACTATAGAATGTCACCTCAAGGTAGGCCTAGTGGCGTCATCTCTTGGTTAGGCCGGAAACTTATCAATCCACCCTCGTATTACAGTTAATTTTAATGGAACAGTTGCTGCATCCTTATCATTTGCACCAAGTGCAAGAATTGCAGGAAAGTGATTTTCGGAAATGGATGGATTTGTGTCAGTTGACGAAGAAATTCTTCAAACGCCATTTTTTCGCATAGATTCTCGGTAGCTTTCTTTAAATGGGGTTGTATGAAATAGCTCGCGTATCAATAGCCACTGGGCAATGTCAGTGATGTGCAGGACCGTGTAAAGGTCGCTGAAAATGAAATTCGCCAAATGCCTGATGATTTTGTGCGCTTGAGAAATAATTTTGGTAGATGCTTTTTGAAGCATTTTAATTTTGAAAAAGTTTTGTAGTGCACGTACTAATAACTCGTCGAGAAGTAAGCAGTAAGGTGTTTTTGTTTATGTTTACTTTAGGTGTTGGACAAACGTCCTTTCCATCCATATGTAGCTACTCAATCCTTATCATAATTTGCACTAAAATATTTAATTGCTCAACATCCATGATGCTAATCATACCCAGAATCGGCTTCGGAGTCTCAGTAGTAATTTTCTTACAATTTTTTTATCCGTAACTATGCTGCTACACTTACCATGAGCTTCCCTATTATATCTAGTTAATACCCTCCAAAGCTAGTCATTTATTTTAGAAATACCCTGTATATTTATTTTGTATTAGCATTCATTACTGTTTTTATTTATTTCACAATTGGGTCATAAGTACCTACACTCATATTACACTTACCGTCATAAATACAACTTGCAGAGAACAAATCGCCACCGATCGGCATGGCCTAAAGGTTTAGACTATTGCTTAGCAGTTGGGAGGACGCCGGTTCGATTGCTAGTCCGTCTGCCTTGGTCTGTGGTTTCCTTAGATTGCTTAGGAAAATGCTGAGACAGCAATATTCCACAGATAATTTTCCTTTCCCGTCTGTCTTCATTACATCCGTCTCATCTTTTTCACCCGAACCACCACCCACCCATTCCCACGATTCCTGAAGGGAGGCGGAAGAAGGTCTTCTGCCCTACCTTCAGGCGTAATTCGGAGGGACTGCCCGCTCACCAGCATTAGTGGCTGGTGGGAAGGAAACACCCAAAAGTTTTAAAAGAAATTAAGAAATCGACTGTCCACATCCAGCATCCGAGATGGAAAGACCTTTCGAAACATTAGGAAGCAACATCCACAGACGAGAATCAGGACACCATTAGGTTTCCGTCGCCTATTTTTATATTAGCAAAACCCTATTTTCATTCTAATGTTCTTGTACGATTTTTATTAATTTTTATACCACACTCTTGGATTAATACCGCCGCCATTTTATTTAAAGCGGCGTCTAACTCATCCTTGCTATATCATCAGCAAATCTGAGCATGCTAACTTTTTGTTAAATGCAGGCGATTTCTCGATTACGCTGTTTTAAGACAGCAGGTAAATTGGTAGGTGTTCTACCGGAACTGTGTATCTGTACGCTCTCCGGCGTGCTGATGGGAGTCAAATTGTTTAGGTTTAGGTCTTAGGTACGTGTGCTAAAGCATTATAGTTTAACATTTTAATGCAGTTATTAATTTTTTTGGAGGAAGTTAAAATATAACCTAACCTAATTATGATCGTTTTAGAGATTCTAGTTCATTTTTAATTTATTCGTGTTAAATTCAATTAGAAAAAGTAGTATAGGTTGTTATTTAAATAAGACAAAGATAATTATAACAAGTTCAGATTTTATTTTAAATTTTAGTATTTGGAATTGCGATTTAATCGATTGGTTCGGATATTTGCATCAGTCATCTTTGTTATGGACGAGGTAAGACATTTTTCCTTTTATCAAACCCAGTTTGTCAAGTTAATAATATTGTAGTATTTTACAGATATTCTTCCTACCTATTGTTATTTATGTTCCATCTCTTGCTTTAAATCAAGGTATGTACTAACGATTGATAATAAGCGTTTTTGAAACTAATAATGTTAGTATTCTATTACTACCCCGTTATTGTATAATAATAAAATAATTAGAGCCGATCAGGGGTAAAAATATTTATTATAACAAAACTAGCACCGACCCTTCGTCTCTAGTGCGTCTTTTTCAAGGCTACAATACGTACATAGTGACGGTGTTAAGAAATATTATGATATGAATAATGTGATTATGAATAATATTACAAACTGTAAGTAAGTGGTGAGTGGTACATAAGTCCCTAAAAAACTTAATATCACAAAACGCATACCAATGTATATATAAAATAAAAATATTAT